CAGCGAAGCGGAGGTGTTCGGAGCTGGAATCGCTGCTGCAAACTGCGCGCGCTGACCTCGGCAGTGCGAGACAACGCTGCGCAGACCTGGATGAGGCATGTCGCGCTAGGGACCAGGTATGCAACTGTAGTTTCGATGTGTTTAGCCTCCAATAGACGGAGCTGTAATTGAGATATTGAGGCGCTTAATTGACAATAGATGGCGCTGTAACAAATCGTCTCGTTTGTATGATAGACTAGCTGTTGCTCGCGACTTCGCCCGCGTGGTATTAAAAAGTAGTAAAAATATGTTACTCAATAATAACATAGCTTTTTAATAGTGCAAGAATTTTTGAAATTGGTCCAGTAGTTTTTAAGTTATTTCAATATGTAAAAAAATACAAGTCTTTCCTCTATTAGTATAAATTGTGGATACTTATTAAAGTTATTTTAATTTATGTTTGTTAAACTTTTTTTGTTATCAGGAACTAGTAATCCGCTTGGAGGACTGTCGCTCCAAAGAGCGTCGTTTGGAGGAGCTCAAACACAATCTGGAGGTGTGCCTCGCGGACGCCACTCAGCAGATACAAGAGCTTAAGGTGTGTACGGAATACTGGAAGTTTAAAATGCTATAACGAGTTTGAAATAAGTCAAAATCATTGCGTTCATCAATGTAAATGTAAAAAATATAACAAATTGCGTCATACTAAAAAAAATAAAGTAATTTTTCTTCCAGACTCGTCTTTCGGCATGCGAGAGCCGATCCCGCGCGGTAGAAGGCCAGTTATCTCAGAGCGAGGGTCTGCGGCGCGAGGCGGAGGCGCGGCTGTCGTCAGTGGCGCACACGCTGCGGCGCGTCTGCGGCGTGCAGCCCGACGGCACGCTGCTCGCCGCGCGCCGCCGCATGGCCAGCCCCGCCAGGAGATATAGCCCGCATAGAGGTAGGAGTACCAAGTAATAGGCGTAGGACATACTACCCTTGCTCTTGGTGTAGGAAATGTTGTGTTTTTGGCAAGAAATTCCGCATTTTTTTAGGAAATGTTGCATTGTTAGTAGAAAATGGTGACTTGTTGACAGAAAATGCTAACTTAGTGGCGGGAAATGGTGTAGTACAACAAAAGCATAACATTCTATAGTGTGATGTGTTTAAAAAAAAAACTTTCTTTTGTAAAATTAAATAAAACAAACAATCATTAAACATTTAATTAATTCCCATCAGTTAGTTTACTTGTGTGTACAAATACAATGAAATCGAAAAATATTTAGTTGGAGTATTACATTACTTTTAAGTTATACGTAATTTCAGGTCGTGATCATTCAGAAGACCGGAATGAGATCATCGACGTCGATCCAGAACTTATCAAGAAGGGTGTTCGCAATTTGATGCACGAAGTTTGTCAGATAGAACGAGAAAAGGTAACATTTAACTTCTACTCCTGAGTTTACAAACATTTCTAGTATTTTCAATATAAATAAAAGAGATATGGGTGCAAGCCGATGATCTATGTAAGGTTTAGTCTAGGACTGATGGGCAGATATCATCAAAATTGTATTATGCATACAAAACTAGTAAGTTATTTTACTTTTTTGGCTCTAGGTGGGGGACAGATGCTCCTATTGTCCCCCCTATTGGCGATAACGATATTTTTTCGTATAGATTCATCGCCCGAACCACAGGACAAATAATAATCCTAATTGTTTCAGACAATATTCTAGGCTAAATAAGTCTTTTAACGAAATCGGTTTAGCCGTTTAAGGGATAACTACAAACAAACATGCATCTAAAGTTTCGCTTTAACAATATAAGTAACACTGTTTTTGTTACAGGACGACTACAAATGTCAGTTGCAATCGTTAAAGAAGCAGCTGAAGGAAGTGTCTGAGCAGCAGGGCAAGGGCGAGGGCAAGCTGCAGTCGCTCAGCGGCAGCGTGCGCGGCCTGCAGGAGGAGCGCGCGCGTCTCCAAGCCGCACTCGCCAGCAAGGACGCACAGCTCACTGCACTGGTATGTACTCAGCTTCACAACATTGCATCGCTGTAGTTGCATAATCTTGTTAATATATACTAATACTGTTTGTGTATACTTATTTATAGTTTTCTTTAATCTAGAATATATGCGTCTTCAGTTTCGCGGATTATTCCCAACGTCATCCCCCTCTGTCCCCACGTGGAACAGATGAGAATAAAAAGTTACATCCGTCCCACCTTTTGCGATGAGGGGACGGTTGGAACTTATTTAATTTTAAGCGGTTCCATTTGTCACCATTTTGGTGATTCTAGGACTAAAAGGCGGGACGGACGAAAATTTTCTTCCCACGGGGGGACAGAGTGGGGAGACGGTTGGGAATAATCCCGTTTCTGTAGCGAATAGCATCAAAATGGCCAGTTTCTTACGCGGTGTTAGAACTTCAACGACGATTTTTACTTTTAGCCATTAATATGATTGTAACAACTTCAACACATTTATACTACTGATTCCCGCCAAAATGGTGCGCTATTCTTAATACTTCTGAATGACATCGACAGATGTGTATGCCGATGAACGAGTGTTGCGTCAATTTCTTATAAGTAAATGGCGAGATTTGAATTACGTAATTCCTGCACCACTAATTACATACTACTAGCGGTTGCTCGCGACTTTATCCGCAGGAAATTAAAAAAGTAATCTTAGTAAAGTAAAGAATTTTTAAAATCGACCCAGAAGGTTTTCTGTTCCAATACATACAAAAATACAAATCTTTCCTGTTTATAATATTAGTATAGATTTTCTTATGCTTCGTAACTGTGTAGATATTTATGGAACTGGCTGTACCAGACAAATCAATGACCACTTATGATTTATAAGTAACTAGGACTCATAAAGTTAATTTTAGGATACTGTAAAGTAAATTCCCTTGCTATTTCAGAACGAATCCATTCAATCGAAGACAACAGAAGTGAACAACTTGAGGGACAAGATCACCAGCCTGGAGGCCGCAGTCAGCTCCGTCTCTGAAGAAAAACTACAGAATGAGGTCATTTTACATTCATATTTATGAAAACTATTATCTCACTCATACTTGTTTTGAAGTTTTTTATTGACCGACTTCCCAAAAGAAGGAGGTATTCAATTCGACGATATGTTTTTTTTTATTTTTTTTATGTGTGTTACGGCATAACTCCGCCGCTAGTGGACCGATTTGGATAATTCTTTTTTTTAGTACTTAAGATTGTAAATTACGTGACCCAATTTTTTTATTGTCTATTGCAGAATAAATCGGAGAGCCTACGAGTACAATTAGCAGAACGAGTGCAAGAAGTCGGCCAGCTGCGGGAAGCATTAGCGGCTGCTGAAGGTAATTATATCTTACTTACTAATATTATAAATGTAAAAGTTAAGACGGAAGGATGTTTGTTACAGCTTGTAGCCTAAACTGCTGAACGGATCTCAATGTAATTCGGCATAGATGTAGAGGATAGACTGGAAGAACACAAGACTACTTCTGTTTTTTTTTTCTAATTTCATGCGGATGGAGTCGCGGGCGAAAGCTAGTTAATTAATAGTTTATAGTACGCTCAAAGGAGCGAGCGGCCACCGAAGTTCACCAAAATAGCGAGGCAACGACGATGAAATATGGGCAGTGACCTATAGACATTTGTAATTGCAGATACACTGCGTACCTTTTATTGATGGAGAAGGAAATGTGTGTAAAGAGCATATTTCCCCTTCCTATGTGCCTCCACCATCAAAATCACCTTACTTTATCCTCTTTGCCTTATAGAAGAGGATGGGAAAGGGAAAGAGACTAAAATTATGCCTGCTCGTAGACATATCAGACTGTATTGTTGCATTCACTTGTTAACTGTCTTCTGTGTCGTTGTACTGCGTGTGGCCATTTGGCCCATTCGAGCAATGAATATAAAGCGGGTTTTCTACTGTTAATGTTTCCCGCAGGTCGCGCGGCGCGGCTGGACGTGCGGCGAGCGCAGCTGGAGGGCGACGTGCAGCGCGCAGCGGTCGCCGCCAGAGACCGCGATGCTGCACTTAAGGTATTTCTTTTCTTTTTATTGTTTGTTAATTTACCAATCTCCATTGAGAATTCTAACTAAAGTTTAGGCTTGTGCTAGGATATGATTCCGTACCCCAAACCAGTAGCCTATTGGCGCCTAGGCTAATTAACAACATTGTTATCGTCCCCCCCGCCTCCTCCTTATATTGCTCTTGCAGGTTCAGTTCAGTAAATTTACATTCTCCAGGTAGATTACACCTTTCGTCATCTGTCATTCCTTGATCATGTCCTTACTAAAATAATACAAACGAAAACAACAGTTACACTTCTTTTTTTAATTCAATACCAATTTACATAATAATGTATGTTTTCAGAAACTCCAAGAGCGTTGCGAAGGTCACCAACGTACGATCAGCTCGTTGGAAGACCGGTGCACCTCTCTGAAGGGTACAGTGGAGCAGCTGTCGGCGGCGCTGCAGAAGGCTGCTGCGGCGGAGAGCGAGCTGCGCGCAGACCTCGCCAAGACGCAGCGCGCGCTCAATGAAGCTAAGAACCACGAACAGAATGCAACAGACAAGCTCAGACAGATGCAGAAGACTGTTGGTGAGTTACTATGACGTCATTTGTCTCCTTTTGAACGATAAGTTTCTCACATACGCATGTGTGTAAGTATTTTTACTCTATTGCGATTTTTGACCTTGATTAAAAAAGCGATTTTAGCTTAAATTACCACCAGTAACATTTTTAAATTTTCTTTTATTGTTTTGTGTTCATTTTTATGTTCAATGTATGTGCGTTTGTAATAAGTATGTGTGTGATATCTTAATCACCTTTATTTATTATCTGAATCACCGATTGTAATTTAAGAAAAAATCTTTTTGTGACCGCTGTGTACGCCTATCATCTATGTGTGCTTTTTTTTTATTAACTTTGTTTATAATATATTTAATTTGATCGTGAACTTGAACGTGCAATTGGTGGACCTAATAAATAAATAAAAAAACAAACCAATCAGACGCTTCGAACTATTTGTATCAAAATATTTAACCGAGCATAATTACTGTCATTGTAAAGAAAATTTATAATCATTTCAGGTGTTTTATTAATTATCTTGGAACATTTTTAGTTATTTAAATAAAATAAGCATGACCTTTTAAAAATGTACTTACAGCTACATGCGAGAACGACCGGCGCGTGCTGTCAGAAAAACTAGAGAGCGCTAAAAGCGCGCTTGGCGAACTGAAGCGACTCAACGCCACGTTAGAAGACCAAGTGCACCGCCTTACCAACCAGCTCGCCAACATTGAAGTACAAAAGTAAGCAAAGAAATATATATTTTTTTATAATAGCAGATTTTTGTTGATTTAATAATATTGTTTTACCATTCCAACTAAATTTTAGGCTTGTGCAACAGTAGAATGGTGGGATTCGAACTTTTGACCTCAAATTGCTCGAAAATCCGTTCCCTAAATACAGTCTATTGGCTCTTCATTTAAATTCTATCAAAACTGCCAAGTTAAAAGAAAAACACTAAAGTTGGGTTGATCAAGTTTCCATGTACTTTGTCATTATCTAGTAATATAAGTTTTAACGGAGTAAAACTCGAGTTACGCATTTCATGAAGTTATCTAACCAAATAAACTAACAAAAGGTCAAAAGTGGGAAACCGATCATAAGTATGTTTCCCAGGTCCGGTTTAGAGTCTCAGTTACGTTTGAATACGTGGGAGGGTAAGGAGAGCGGGGACGCGGAGGCGGAGCGCGAGCTGCACGTGCTACAGCGCGAGCGCGCAGAGCTGCGTGCGCAGAACGACGCGCTGCAGGACGCAGTACGCAGACTGAGCGCGGCACGACCCGCCGCTGCGCACGCGCCCGCCGCTACGCACGCGCAACTCGCAGCGCGCAGTAAGAGCCACGAGCGCGACAAGCTGTACCGTGATGTGTATCGTGATATTGACTCAGGTAATATCTTTGAAATAATAACTTTTTTCCTACGAAATGTCGGTTGCAAGCTTTGTTAGTGTGGAAAACAAGGTCGTCTGTAACATTCCCGCATTTGTCAAAAAAAAAATCGATCCAGCCGTTTTGGAGATTACCCGAAACAAACTTGGCGACAGACAGATAGTCAGATAGACAAAAAAATAAATTGTTTAAACTTTTGTGAGATAATATCTAAGACTAAAATTTCTTAAATGCAATTTTTGTTTTCGGCAACGAAAATACGTCTTCGCGAAATCGGGATTTCTTTCTTGATATGACAAACAGACACTCCAATTTTTTAACACAATATCGCTTAAGATTGCTTACTCCAAATGTGCAGACCTTGCTAAACTTAGTAGGCTACTTGTATGTTACTTTGAACCTTCAAACGGCCTTTCCTCGAGCTGCCGTTTTACGCACTCAGAATCGAATATTGGTTACTAAATTAGACGTTTATCGTATCTCCAATCAGGTGGTGATTCAACGAAGGATTCTGTTCGTGATGTGAAGGAGTGCACGTGCAAGGGGAAGAGTTTCAGCGCGGAGTGGAGCCTGCTGGAGCTGGAGAACAGGGAGCTGCGCATGAAGATACGACGTCTGGAGAAGGAACTCTCAGACAAGGTCAGACACCTACATTATATTTCAATATTATATCAATATAAAACTTGATTAACTCATTTTGCATCAAAATACAAAGAAAAATCTTCTACCTTTCCTTCCAAGTATCGTCTAAATGGATCCAGTCGTTCCATAGATATTTGTATAGTAAGCATGCAGGACGGTTATTTTTTGTCCCTTTCCCTTCCTACTCTTTTCTTATAAACCTGTATGTTCTGCTTTATATTTAATATGATCGTGTTCTTACATGGAGTTGGTGTTACTTGTGGTGTACCTTTCCATTAAATAAAATAAGGAATGGATGGGAAGGGATATTAGACCTGACGGTGAAGACACATATGAAGGGGAAATATCCCATTTAAGTCTTCTCTTACATCAATTAATTTAGAAGGTCGTTTTCTCGTTTTTTTTTTTCGCACCGGTGGAAATGTCAGTCGTGCTAGTGGAAAAGAGGTTTAAATGTTGTTGTGTTAGGAGGCGGAGCTATCAATGGCTCGCAACCGCTACCTGTCGGAGGTGTCGGTGAGCGGCGGGCGCAGCGACGCGGAGCAGTACCGGCAGGCGGCGCTGCAGGCCGAGCGCCTGCTGGAGGCGAGGGAGGCCTCCCACAGGCAGCAAATTGCACGACTTGAAGCACAGGTAACTTACACTAAGTTATAAAGTTAGTTTTTGTTTCCCTAATGTACCAGCAATGTTTACGTTACGCTAAATCCGATTTTTTTGTATGCTTTATTACTATAAAAACATATATTTAAAGGTTTTTTTTATAATTCGTTTCGATTGTTCTCGTTGATACTGAAAACTCGTGCTCCTTTGGTTTACAAAGTAGCACATAGAATTAAAAAAACTGTTTTAGATTTGTAAGTTTGATTAAAAATGATAAACATTTTAGTCCCCATTCTTACAAGCGCATTTTTAATGCTCGGCGTTTGCGCTTTATCGCTCTCAGTTATATGAACGCTTTATACATTTGTCTTATTCGCTTAGCGTTCAAAATACAACTGCGTGATATAAAGTAAAAGCGCTGTCGATAGAAAAAACATGGAAATGCATTTCTTTCACGCGTGTTTTTAACGCGCGTAATAAAAACGCCATTAACATTACGAATGATTGTCCTCCCTTTCATTCTTTTATGAGACACAACATTCCTGTATCACTGTACGGTCAGTGTAAACCCACTGTAATGTGCAGGCGTCCCAGCTGCGGTCCCAGCTGTCGTCGGAGCTGCGTCGGCGGCAGGCGTACGTAGCGCGCAGCGGGCGGGCGGCGCGCGACGTGCAGCGCCTGCGCTCCGCGCTCGGGGACTCGCTGCGAGCTGTCGCACAGGTACACATCACACAGTTACACATCACACAGTTACACATTACACATTACACAGTTACACATTATACAGTTACACATTACACAGTTACACATTATACGGTTACACAATTACACAGATACACAGTTATACAGTTACACAATTACACAATTCACATTATACTTATAACTGAATAAAGAAAACAGTCATTTGCCCACTACATACTTTCTAACCCTTTTAAATCTCAATTCGACAGAGTTTATGTACCAAGAAAACATAGATTTTTTTAAATTAGTTATTCGTCACATTGGACAATATCTAATTAGGGTTAACTGCAGCTATCAGCCCATTAGTTCGACTATTCGAATCAAAGCGTATATCGCGGTCTTATCATATATGAGGCTGTTGCATATTTAAATGTCGTTTCAGTAGCCAGATACTGCAACAGAGTTAATAATTTGTCACTAATTGAGACCCTTATTGAAAATTTATCAAAAATCACTAAGACAGACCCATAAAGGATTTGAATGCGGCAGTTACATATTTTGTTAGTGGCGATATTACCTGTGTAACGATAAGAATACAACTCGTTATTGTAACCTCAAATATGTCTAATACTTAATTTTTCTAGGACCCAGCTCTAGACGCATATACTTTAGAACACGAAGCAAGGAAACTGGACAACACGCTGACACACAGCCTGCCGCCGCTCAACGACAGCTATGACTCCGCCAAGTAACTACGGAAATAAGGACCACGTAAATTAAAAATATACCCTATGTTACTCAGCATAAAAAAGCTTTCTAATGGTGAAAGAATTTTTTAAATCGGCCCAGTAGTTTTTGAGTTATTTCAGTACATACAAGTTTACAAATCTTTCCTCTCTATTATACCTATTAGTATATATTCAGTTAATTTAATGAATGACGTGACTAATGACGTCACGTTACTTTAATTGCGGTTTAGTGCGTCATGTAACTAATCCCTGACGTTAATTTTACAACGAATTCAAAATTTTAATAAATTGCTGTTTGCTCGCGACTTCGCCCTCATGGAATTAGAAAAAAAATAAAAACATAGTCTATGTTACTCATAGATAAATTACCTTTCTAATGGTGAAAGATTATTTTAAAATCAGCCAAGTAGTTTTTCTGTGGATACATACAAAAATTCAAAAATACAATTTTTTCCTCTTTATAATATTAGTATTCGTATTGAGGATACACAGTTTTTAAATTAGTTATTTTTTAACTGCGGTATTCATAGACAAAAAATATACTTCAAAGTAAAAAATAAATTTGATTGAATATTCTGATTAAAAATACATTAAATGGAATGAGATAACACATAACTAAGAGTGGTAGAAATTACTATTTAAAAACACGTGAGAGAATTCATTCATACATAAAAGGATATTGTACATTAACCCCGTTAACAGGAAAAGGGGTGGCGTCAATGATGTGATTATCTTGACAATGTTTGAGATACATAAATGTCGGTTGTTACAATTCTCATATAAAAACATATCATTTTTATTGGTAAAATAGACACAAGAATAATTTTAAACACTATTTAACTACACGATTATTGCGTAAATCGTAACTTTCAAATTGAACTTTGTAGTACAAACTTGCAAATTCCATATACCGGAAGGTGAATGTACTAAAATTAGTAAATATATAAAAAAATCTATAATCGTTATCATAAAATTAACGAAACACGTATGTTTATATGACTTGCTGATAACGCCCGCTAGACCAACGCAATGTGCGATTAGGGTGAGCACACATAAGAGATACTATCGCTTTTATATATTTAATATAGTAAAGTAATCTACTTTCTTGCATTTCTTCAGAATTAATTGGTTTAAACATTTTTTTAAACTAACTAAAACTAACACTAGCTTTCGCCCGCGACTCCGTACGCGTGATATTAAAAAAACTAAGTAGCCTGTGTTCTTCCAGACTACCTTTTACATCTATGCCAAATTTCATCCAGTTCCGTTCAGTCGTTTAGGGTACAAACTCTTATAAACATCCATTCATCTAAACTTTCGCATTTAAAATATTAGTTAAATAAAACAAAGCATTTTTTATTATAAGTTAAGCACATTTACATAGTTCTTTTAAATATATTTTCTTCTATAAAATTGAAGTGTTGTCACCTGTCAATGCAATATTACTCATATGTAGTGTGTCCTCACCTTGTGCGTGACGTCACAGGGCAGATGTGCGGGCGCGCGCCGACCGGTCCCGCGCACACATGGCGCTGTAAAACTATTGAATCCCGCATTCTTACTGATATAGTACTTTATACTGACTTTTAATACATGAAAATACGTACAATAGATTTTAATTAATTATTTGATAGTTTAAAATGTTTTTTTTAGGCTATTGATGGTAGACTTTTGACATTTGTAAAGGATTTAAGGTTAATAAAGGGTAGAGTTTTGAGTTATAAATATTCAATAAAGTAAAGCGATGTTTTTTTTTTAAATTGGAGGTTTTGTTTTAGTGTTTGTACTAAATATTATTACATTCTGACTTGTAATATATATTTTTTTTGTCAACAAATCTATTGTCGAATTTCTAAAATGATTTTTTTAAAAGGGTTAGTTATTTTGAAATAGAAGTAAACGATACAGTATGAATACCTTTTCTTACACAATACACGTGCCTCCATAAATGTAAATGATTCAAGTTATGTGAGTAATGACCGGTACATGATCAGTTTAACGTATAATTATTTCTTAGTCATGTTCTTAGTAAATACGCTATATTTTCCAGGACCCTTTATAGGTAAAGGTTATACCAAAATATCCCTTTTCTGTACATCTTTGAATATTACAAAAATTTATTTTTAAAACATCAAACCTCAACTTTTTTCTATATTAGGTTACTTAACGGATACGCCTTCTTATCATGTTCGCCCACTTAACTTATGCGACAGTTTTTGGTCACCTTTAAGTTACATTACTTGTAGGCCGATTTCAGTAGCTCTATCCATAAATTGGATGTAAATTGTATAGAAAAATGTGTTCGCGGTGTGTAATTAACTCGTAACCTTTGCAAGTCACACGGCCTTAATTGTTACCATTATCTGCAGCTATGACTCGACTTCACTTAATTACAGCGAATTCGTGAATATTTTAAAATAACATTTTTGACCTCATATTAAACGGTTTTAAACTAAACTGGATACCTTTTCTAACGGGAATATTTCAATAATTTTTATTTCGCAATAATCTGAAAATTAATAAAACTCGCTACGCACATTTGATCGACTACACGTTATTAAAATTCAATATCTATTCTAGAGGAATAAAGTACAAAATAGAATAGCTATTCAAATTAATATAATGCTCACTTTACTGTAACAAATGTAGTCATATTTTTGTCACAAGCCGGTATGCACACGTCCTCACATAAAGATTACAATCGTTTGAAGACGGTGTCAAGTCCTGCGCCGGCGTTGACTCATCTAGTAAGGTCAGAGTAACCGGAAGTACAAAGGAAGTCATTTTTTCTGCTATAAACATGACTCAGCTCTGACGTAAATGTCTAGGTTTTAGATGTGTTAGGCTGTAGTTAGTTTTACGATTATAACCTAAAGGGTTAGGTAGATTTTCTACTAGACTGTTTGAGAACTTGACATTTCTATATTTATACATCTACTAGCTTTCGCCCGCGACTACTTCCGCTCGGAACTAGAAAAACAAATGTTAGTAGCTTATGTGTTCTTCCAAACTATCCTCTACATCTATGCCAAATTTTATCGAAGTCCGTTCAGCCGTTTAGGCTACAAACTCTAACAATTATCCATCTAAACTTTCGCATTTATAATATTAGTATGAACAATGTACACATGTTGGTATGTACATACAGATCATACCTACATACTCTATGCATTTCTGTCGCTAATACAAGAAAAGATTTAAAGTTATACAAACTTTTCGGCATTTAATTACAGTTAGGTTTTATCTTGCTAAGTGTATGAATATTATTATAAAAAAACTTGTACTTAATGTACGCAAGTTCGTTAACCTTACAAGAAAGTATCACTTGATACAGATGTGACCCAATTACCGCGCTACTTCAAGTTCGTATCATCGGCCTTCGCATATATTATATTTTAACATAGGTAGGTTTCACGTTTGTACTAGTTATCAACGATACAAGGCATTGTGACTCAACAAAGAGTGAATATTTTTATTTCTACATATAAGACTGTCTTCTGACTCTTATGCATTCACTCTTGAGATTCTATTCAAGATAGATACAAGAATACTTAAAATCTTGGCTTCTAAATTTAACACACTATTGAGAAAATGTGCACAAGTTTGTTTTAAAATCATATGAGACACCTAGACAATCTTTTTCTACTCGTCTGTACCTATTATATATTTGCATAAAAATGTTCTATTCTCTATTATCTTAATGCATAACACAGCACTTGTCTTTTTTTCTATTGTGCACAAAACAGCACAATTCTCTAATCAAAACCCAAACAATCGTCTCTATTCTACATTCAGAAAACATACCTAGTAGTTTTAAAGTATCAAAAATATATTTTATACTTAAAATGGAACTGATCTACATTATTTTGAATGTCTAAAGTACCAAACTGATTTGTACGATATATATGTACTTTACAATAATTTATGGTTAAAATTGGTAATATGTAATTTTATGGTTGCGAGTCTGGTCAACTGTATAAAATGAATCGTCCGGATTCAGCGAACTGCGAAGAACCCTTATTTACCTCGTCTTATTGGCCTTGGAATTATGTGTCACATGCTAAATACAAGCGGTCTTCAACTTGAGACTTGATCTATATAACTTGAAACATAGGCCATCTAAAGATATTAGTATGCGGCTTTGCGCTACAATTTTGATAATTCGAACGAATTTGATTTAAAGTTATTGCATTCAACATTCAAGTTACAAATTGTTACAAAAATCTCCAGCGAGAAGCGTTTTTGGTAACTTTTTTTTCGAGTCAACATAAAATTTACAAGATTCAGCCATAAAATATCTCGGGACCAAATCGAGACACAGTATTCTTTGTTCAAAGATGTTTGGTTTTTAAACTGACATTTTCTATGTTGTAATCTAGTCAATGTATGAACTATTCCGTCCAATTCTAGTCACATCTAGTCAGTAATTTTAGTATTTGTGTATTAGGATTGAAAATATATTATAGTAATTATTATTTATACGGCACTGTTGTAACGTAGGCAAAATTGTTCACTTAATTACATAGTAATGACATTAATACGAGGAAAATATGTTTCAAATGGAATTTTCCCTAATCTATACAATTGACGTGTATCAAGGACACTTCATTTAGGGTATTAAAAAGTGCATAATTAACTCCGATTTTGTATTCACGTTGAAGCAAAACCAAACTTTTTGTTTTAAATTGAATTATACTAACAAAATATAACTTACAGGAATAAAGGTTTTGGTTTAGCTCCCATATGACTTATTTATTGTTGCAGCCTTAAATCGTTAGTAAAGTGCAAAATGAGTCACGTCAATGGAATTCATTGCTTCTGATCTGGTTTTCGTTTAAAAGGGTTTACCAAACCATTACTGAGAATATTCCGTGAGACGTTTTAAAGAAATTAACAATGTACAAGCTTTATAGTATGTAAACAAGGCGAACTCTCGATACATTGTTAGGCTACAGATTTGAAACTATTAATATACAAAACAGATATCGACTTCCTGCGCCGAATATTAGCTGTGTGGATATCTTATCACAGTATTTTGTGAACGTTTATCAAGAAATGTCAATAATTAGTTTTCCAACAAAAACTTATTGTAATGTAACTGAACATCTGTGCCTTGGGAATGTGTTCTAACATTTTTTTTGTATAATTGTATGTAGATAACGCCTCCCACGAGCTCTCAATGTATTAATTCATTAAATTTATGTTAATTTTTCATTTGTACCGCGTCCCGTAGTGAGCTCGATCTATGTACGAGACCTTGTATCACATTACGGGGCGACCAATTTCAGCAATTTTATGTAGAAGTTATAATTTCCTTTGCAATACTTTAGATAGCTTGGTTATAAGGCGTATTGTGTTCATACTTTCATTGGACTGTGTCAATTCTTATGTTACTAGAATATAGACATACGCCCGCCACGTACACTGCCCTTATTTTTAATAATATACAATGTAATTTAGTTTTAGTATTTGTGAACACGTTTTATGAAACTTTTGTACACCGTAAGTCAATAAAGTTATAGTAGTGGGGTAATGATTGTTTCAATTAAATTAATTCCATTAAAATTCCGTCCCAATTGGCGGATGGGCGGGTCGGAGCGGCGCGGCGGAGGGCACCGGCCAGCTGACTCACTGCGATACCGCGCCATGGTGCAACCGACACGCACCTCCAGAGCGACATGAACGCAAGGAAAACTCAGCACAAAACATCAATATTTAAAATTGGTTTTATTGATAAATTTGCAAAAAAAGAAGAAAAAATAGTTATTGTACATGTCGATTATTGATTGAAAAGATAAAAATATACAAGAGTTCATAATTTGATTGATATATATTTAAAAAATATAATTGAACTCAGATCAAGTTACTACCAATATCCTTGTGCAGCGATCTTACAAGTTAACAGAAATCAATACGGAGGAAACATCTAATCCCATAACAATATTGGAACATCTATATTTATAATTATTTTTTCATTTAACAAATTATTCATAGCAGCAAAACATTTGATGTAAATTTACATTAAAAATGAGCCAGTTAATCATAAAACTTTAATCCATTTACAATAACGATAATTTTTTTTTAGATTTTTTATTAATACTTAGGGGTTAAGAGTCTGTGGCACGTAGTGTACAACCCGAGGCGAGCCACTGGGCATCGGAGACACTACACTGGGTGGGTGCACTCACCTAAGGCTCACTAATATTTGTTCAAACTTACCGAAACCTAAGTGGTATGCTAATACCAACTTCGATACATTTGAATTATATAACAAGACAATATATCTGAAAAATTTAATGTATTCTTACTTATTTAAACATTATACAATGGTTCAGGCCTACCGGAACCTGCACTATCCATCTCTCATACTAACAGTTCAGAAGTTTGAAAATATTACAATAATTATACCTAAATCGCTTGCTAACTGCAGACAGCGGGGCTATGTTAAATAAGGCAAACAATTAAATCTGTTGCTAAAATTTATGACAATGCTGGCCCAAAGATAACCTATAAAGCAAAACAATTGATGCAGAAACATAATATATCTATACATGTGTACACACATCTTTATGGAAAGGCACTTGACTTCATACAACTCATTCTGTCAACTGAACACAAAGGAATGCAAAAATGAGTGCAAAAAACAGATCTTGTTTGTAATATATGAACCGGTTGGTCATAAAATGTAAATGCATAAATATTCAATTACAAACAAAGGCATTGTTTTAAAAATTGAAAAGCAAGTTATTTTAGAAGCAAAGAATGTTTTTAATTAAAAGTTAATTTGAGCACTCACTATTTACAACCTCTATATTGTAGCAGGTGGCATTTATAGCTAGGAATTAATACATTCAACTCAATAGCAATGTGATAAATCATATAATTTTAAGGACTACATTTTCCTGTTTAACCTAATTGACAAGAAGCTGTCTGCATTCAGCATTGCCCTTTGAAACAAAACTTATACATCTAAATACACTATAAACAGCAGTTTGTAATATTAGCTATCTTGAATTCAAAGTAATGTATATATTCTTGTATTATAATTCTTGAAATAATAACAGAACGGAGGGTTCTCACATAGTATACTTAACATAGTTAACTCCAATTGCTGGATAATTTTAGCGGTGAACTTCTGAACCCAATGTCATCCACACAATACAATTGGAATTCTTTTATAGTGAATGATGCACAGAGACAATGAGTCTATTCTCAAAATAACCAAATTAATGCACCAATGATATCATATTTTTAGAGAACAGGAATAAATGCAGACCCATGTTGCCTGTGCACCTTTCACCTGCGCCGCGGCGCTGGAAATTGGAGCTCAACAAATGCGCATCCACAAAACTCTAAAGACATTTGACAAGCAACAATGCTCACCCGATTTAGTAAACTTTTGGAACTGACAGCCAAATCCGGGTACGAGAAGTCTTTCAAATTATTAAATATTCTATACCTAGACGCAATATGGTCTTCTTCAGTTACATGAAGATACATTTGATAGGCTTTTTTTGTGGTTTCTTGTCCTCTTTAGGCGACTTCTTGTTGATCTGTCGGACCAGGTCGTAAAACACATCGTTTACATTGACTTTGGCCTTAGCGGAGGTCTCCATGAAGGCGCAGTTGAAGTGGTTGGCGAGGTTGGACCCCTGCTGCTTGCCCACCACGCGCTCGGCCTCTAGATCGCACTTGTTGCCCACCAGGACCATTGGCACATCGTCTTTGTCTTTCACCCGCAGGATTTGCTCCCGGAGATCCTGCAAGTCGTTAAACGTCGACTGTGCTGTGATGGAGTAAACTAATACGAAACCTTGTCCATTCTTCATATATAAATCTCTCATTGCTGTGAATTGCTCCGTGCCGGCCGTATCGAGGATCTCCAGCATGCATTGTTGCCCATCCACTTCCACTTGTTTCCGATAGCTGTCCTCTATGGTTGGGTCGTATTTCTCCACAAAGATGCCTTGTACGAATTGTACTGTCAGGGCAGACTTTCCCACGCCTCCACTGCCCAACACAACTATTTTATATTCACGCATTATTAACTATTTAGTTACACGTGACTTTATTCACTTAAATCAAATATCAAATCGCTAAGAAGCACATTAACTAGTAAGTTATTGCAAAAAAACCTTTAACCAAGTCAAACCGCCATGACACCGTTTTAGCAGGGCGATGTCTCACTTTATTAAAATTGCCATTTACAAAAATAATAAATTACGTAAAGACGTTATAAACAAATCACTTGTTGAATTGGACTGACTAATATAAACAATAGCACGCTTGAGGAAGAATGAATTATCAGCGAATTGAGTTAATTTAATTGCACAAAAGAATATGGTTCCGAAAGGACAAAGCAAATTATTTCATCAATGCGTTAACCTATTGGGGATGTAGCATCCTTCATTGTTACAATCAAATTCGATTAATTTATTATTATATGAACAAATGTACAATTTTTTTTACAATTTAATCGAATCTTAGAAACATTTGTCTTTCAACTAACTAATTTTTTTTTCATCGTACAGCGTAATACTTTTCAAGTACTATATATTGTATGCGCTACTTTAGGTGAAAAAAAACTATTTATACTTAAGCAGTAAACGGATAAAATGATTCAAGGAAATGTTGAATTACAAAACAATTAATTTGTCGTGTACATGGCAACAAAAATACTGAGTATTTCTTTAATGAAACTCTAGATGGCAGGTTAACTATTAAAATAAATTCAAAATTAGAATGTAACCGAAAAATGACTATAAAATGGTTGTTGCAAACTATCAATAAGTATTGAATTGTTAAAAAAAGGTAAGTGGAGGAAAAATCAAAGTAATAGTAATAATGTCGAGATTACTTGACGAGGAGGCAATTAAAGACCCGTCCGATTACAAACAAATCACATTAGAAAAAATATTAAAAACGCTACAAGCGAACTTCTTCGAATTCCGCATCCAAAATGTGGATACGTTTTTATAGTACTAGATGGCGCTAGTTGTTAGGTTCAGCTTCGTACATTTTTTTAAATCTTCACAAATGGTATCCGCATTCAGCTAATAAATTGGATTTCTTCAATAGACGAGGAGGTAGATGTTTCTATAATCTTCAAAATAAAACATAAAAAAGGTGCATTTCACTTAAAATTCCTGAAGCAAGGTAACAAGAAGAAATTAGTGATAAGCGTAATAATAAAAAAAGCGCGATAATAAAAAAGAGTACAGAATAAAGGATACCTGGAACAAATAAGACCAATTAACACGGCAGAAATAATTTGCAAGTTATTACGAGTCTTGCGAATTGTGTCCCCGAGGGTTAATCTCATTACCTTCTGTACCTAGTTATAATCGGATTGTGTTATTGTAACACTTTTTTTGCCTTTCTAGAACTGGCCAGAGGTTAAAGGATTCTCATCTATACTTCTAAATCCATACTTAAAATTATAAATAGGGAAGATTTGTATTTTTGTATGTGTTGAAATAAACCAAAAAGTAATGGGCCGATTTCCAAAATTTTTTCACCATCAAAAAACTACGTTATCGCTGAGTAACATAGGCTATGTTTTTTTTACAATTTTTGATTTGACGTGGACGAAGTCGCAAGCAACAGCAAGTTTACATAAATATAAATATAAAATAATAATATAATAAAATTGGTCAATGGTCTAATAAAATCTATGGCGCAACTTAGGAAGACCATGTAATCGATAAAAAATCTTACTAATGGAGTTGCAGTTTAAACAGTTTTTTTTATATTTTAACGGGGGTCACTTGCGATCTTTTCTAAACTAAGTAAGGATAATGTTACAACAAAAAAACTGCAGCATGTACGTCAGCAAATGCAAATTATATTATGTCAGTCATTTTCAATATAAAAAACAATATCAAGAAGTGTAGAAAGTCAACTGAACCTTTTAATGCAATAGAAGGTAAACGTGACGTGAATTATACCAGCTCCAACTTTTGCTCTGACGCGGAAGCAACATAAACCAAATTATGTAATTTTTAAAGGATGTTTTTTACGTCCGTTGTTATTTTGCACGCTTGGCTTGGTTTTTCGTGTGTATGTAACTATGTATGTTTATCTGTTTGAGTTTATCGTGTTACTCTTAACTGGTTGACTGAATTTGAAGTGTTAGGTGCACTATTTGTGTTCTCTACAATATAGTAAACTAGCTTTTGCCCGCGACTCCGTCCGCGTGGAATTAAATAAAAAACAAAACTGAGTAGCCTATGTGTTCTTCCAGACTATCCTCTACATCTATACCAAATTTCATCAATATTCGTTCAGCCGTTTAACCTACAAACACTAACAAACATCCATCCATCCATGCATCCATCCATACATCTAAACTTTGGCATTTATAATATTAGTAAGATAAGATTAGACCTATTATTGATAGTTTACTAGCTGTTGGTCGCGACTCTAAAAAAATATAGCCTATGTTACTCACAGATAAATAACCTTTCTAACGTTAAAAGAATTTTTGAAATCGACCTCGTAGTTTTTGAGTTATTTCAATAAATACAAAAATGCAAATCTTTCCTCTTTATAATATTAATACAGAGTCTAGATATATACTACTTTTGTTAAAGTGTTTTAGGTTTTAGGCGTAAAGACTTCGTTTGCTTGCGTACATTTGTAATGAACATTACTTTCACGCAAGTAGATGTCGTGAGTTGATCAAGACTTCTTCGAGTTTGTCTGCAGTTTACAAACAACATTCGATGCCAAGTTACGAGTTACTCGACTACGAATACCAGTAAATGAATGTATAGGCAAGGAAATAAATTCGCTTACCACTTAACATAGAGTTACAAACTGTCATGATAGAGTTATAATTTAGCATCTATAGATCGACGAGGATATCTGACTTATAACGATACGTAAACGCCACCCAGTCAATGTTATTTTCTATGTCTAAGGGAGGTTTTACTTTATTTTCTGACAGATCTAACCGAGCACAGATATGTTGCTATGTCAAGTATTCTAGCTTATTTGTCAAATGATATTTTAGGGTAGGAAATATACTTCCCCGACTACACAACACGTTTGTTGTAAAGAGGATTAACCAGGAAAGTATATAGACCCTGCTCATGCTAAATTGATTACCATTCCTGACAGCGGAGAAGTTTTGGAGGTCTATCACGAATGTCTACGTGAGAGTTGCGAGAACGTTTTCGTAACGCTATCGACAAATTTTGTATGAGATTTGTTGCGTGTACGTCCAGTAATCTGAAATCATTGGCGATTATGTCACGAGTATTTGTGATAGGACCTCTGTTCGTAAGTTAATCGAGTTTGTGCGTCGCGCGCTTTGTTCGCGTTGACGTTTTACCCTTAATCTGTCAGATTGTGAATTGTGATGGCGTTTCATTGCATTACAAGTTGATTGCTTTTCCTGCAAGTTTCCACTGCCGAAACAGCTGTATTAAACATTGCTATCTTTATCATTCTCTTTGTAAAAATAGAGAGGAGACACGTAATTTACATGTATTTGGATATGTGTACTGGAAAGTTGTCCATTCGTATAGCAAAGCATATTTTTACCACAAATTAAATTGAGCTTTAACTAATTGACATAAGGTTTAATTTTTTTTACATGTCTATTTTACGCTCCTATTTGTTTGAACGGACCCTTAACCACCCACCGGTTATGAAGGTACGGGTCATTTACTCTCGATTTTATTATGTTGCCAGCACTTAATGTTTTTTTATTAATGACTAAAAGCTTCGAATATTCCTGCATATTTTTCCTGAAAAATTAGATAGCAACTTTATAGCAGTATAACGTTTTTTTAATATGATTGTAAAATGAAATCGTTGTTAACATGTTTTTGTACAAGTTTTACGAGAATAGGAATGCATATGACATATAACATTGACAATTTGAGTATTAAAAATATGATTAAAAATACTTTCGAATACCTCTCGAAGTTTTAAATATAAAATCAAAACAGTTGTTTCCACCTGACGACAGAGGTCGCTTAGTTCGAAATCAGCGGAACGACAAAGTTATGAAAGAGGAAAAATATTATAAAGTCTCTCGCAACTTTTTACTAGTTCCCAGTTCCCAGTTCGCAGGCAAACATTCCAGTTTAATGGATGTCCCGATATTTCACTCAGACGGGACTTTAAATTTAATGTTAACTTTAATGTTTAACTTTTCAATCGATATCGGACTATGCATAAAATAAACTTGCATTTTAGAATTTAAAATCTCTTTGGTTGATTTAATAAAATTGTAGACAGAAATCAACATAAAAAATTGTCAATTTACGGTATCATTCTTAACTAAAACAATCGATTTTTATAAGTAAAACTGTACTGTAAGCAGAATCTTAACTGTCACTTGCACTTATAATGTTTTCCCTACAAACGCATAGTTTAAACTGACAGAACTGAGTGTATATGGTAGGCTTAACAGTCATGTTAAGTTAGAAAAAGACTTTAAAATAATTTTAAGCAGTTCGAAGTTATTCGTCCTATTTATTTAACACAAAATATTTATTCAATGCACAAATTGAGCACAAATACAATGTTCCGGATTGCTTTGTGCTTCTTCCGTCGCATAAGATACAGTCGAGTGCATTCTGAACTGTGCCTGCAAATACACGAATGTGTCAACTACAAATGTAAAACTACAAATATGTTAAAGAAACGTACAGATATATATTCGTCATCTCTCTCATTCCCTTCGCCAAGAACAGAAACAAACATGTCGCATCACAGAGTCAATGTGAATACTTATGTATGTCAAATTGTATTCACACTTAAAAAGTTATATTTCAGTTTCACATTTAACTATCGCAAGTCATGGCAGTTTATTGTTTCAGCTTACCATATATTCTGGTAACACAAACTTGTTTACAAATTGAAATACGAACGTTAACTTTGGCTATAAAATAGAAACGTGTAATACGATGCATTGGAAATTATTGGACGCGAACTCTGCCAAAATCATATGAACTATTGCCCCAACAACACTGCGCTGGCCTCAGCAGCCTATAATGAACATTTATCGAGACATGTTTGCATTCATCGTTGAATCGATTTGTATTTATAGCTAACCAGCTTCAGTCCGTAACTCCGTCCGCCAGGAATTAAAAATAATAGTAAGTAGTCTATGTGTTCTTCCAAACTATCTTCTACATCTATGCCAAATTTCATCCAAATCCGTTTAGCAGTTTAATGTAAGTGTGCA